AAACAGTTTTTAATGTTGTAATGTTTTAATGCTAAACAAGAGACCACGGCAGTCCATCCCCTCTGTGCTGCTTTGGCTAATATTACCCTGAGCAGCAATGGGCAGCTGTGATTGGCTGAGAGTGTCAGCTGACTGCTTTTAGCCTGTCAGAGCTCCAACTGACGGTATGAATGGGTATGACAACAAGGAAGTGTGTAATCTCTGCTTTAGCTACACATACTGAAGGGGCCGGACTGTGGATGGCCAGGGACTCTTATTTTGTGGCATACTGCACAAACATGGTGCAACACTGAATGGAGGGACAGTGCCAGGGCACTCCAGGCACTATAACCAATTCAAAGAGACAAAGTGGTTATAGTGACTACAGTGTCCCTTTAATGAAGACCCTCAAGCTCTTGCAACACAGACTCTCTCTGCTACTCGGCTGATGTTTCTGCACTGACCCAAGCAGTGATGGGTGGCAGAAATAGGCTGAGAGCACAAGCTGTCAGCCTTTCAAAGACGGCCATTGCTGGTATGAGTTGGTATTGCTAAGGTGGAGTATAACCTCACCTTAGTCTGGTCTCCAAGACACCAGGCACCATAACCATTTTAGTAAGATTAAGTGGTTTTGATGACTATAGTGTCCATTTAAGGATTTCCCCCCATAATTGATGAAAAAAGTAAATCATTAAAAATTTAAGTAAAGAATCTTAAAGAATCTGTTACCATCTGGGGCCTCTGCATAATTTTCAAAGACTCTCAACAGTGACAATCTCCGACGTGGCTCTGATGATATTGGTACCTGAACTTATCCCTCACGGTCAGCCGCATTTTTATCTGTCAGGCCCTTTTCAGCTCCTGATGCTTCAGCTGTCAGGAATCAACGCCATCGCGGTACTCTCACACATGCACGAGAGTACAGCACTGTGGACCGCTGGATTCCTACAGCCATCACTGGTGACAGTAGCTCTGTCTTTTGTCAAACTAAAAATACAGAGACAAAGTAGTCCCTACTTTGTCTCAGTATATCTCTTGCTGGATTGGAATTTCAGAGAAATTCAGTTTTCAGAGAAAGCCACTTTAACTAGACCAGTGCTGCTGTTTGTGTACAGTATGCTTATATTTCTTTTTGACTTAAGTAACTTACATTTACCTTTTTACAATCCAGACTCATTAAAAGGTACAGTGTTTAGAATTTCATTATTAACCCCTTATGGGCGGAGCCAATTGTACAAGCTGTGATCAAAACAAACCGTAAACAAAACCGAGAATTTGACTATATGTGTGCAGGGCCGCCTATAATATGAATAGGACCCTGGGCAAAGCATTTTCTTGGCACATTCACAGATACATACTGACACACACAAATATATACTGGCAGACATATTGACACACACATACATACTGACACACACACAGATATATACTAACAGAAATACTGAAGCACAGACACATACACTGACAGACATACTGACACACACACTGACATACACACAGACATACTGACACACACAAGTACAGACACAGGCACACTGACACACACACAGACACACACAGGCACACTGACACACACACACACAGACATACTGACACACACATACACAGGCATACTGACACACAGACATACTGACACACACAGGCATACTGACATACACAGACATACTTACATACACACACACACACACACACACACACAGGCATACTGACATACACACACAGACATACTGATATACACATTCTGACATGCACACACACACAGGCATACTGCCATACACAGACACAGACATACTGACATACACACACACACACACACAGGCATACTGACATGCACACACACAGGCATACTGACATACACACACAGACATACTGACAGACACAGACATACTGACATAGACACAGACATATTGACATACACACACACAGGCACACTGACACACATGCTACATTTAGCCACCCTCCAGGTGGTTTTCCTGGGGTCCAGTGGCAGGCTGAGGCAGTTGGAACTTATCTTCTGGAACTCCCCTCCTCTCTGCCTTCCTCCTCCCATGCTATTACCTCCGGTGGCAGGAAGTGACGCGCGGCACTCACTTCCTCCCAGCTGGCTGCCGAACAGGAAGGGGTCCGGTCGCCTGCTGACACATGCTTACCGGGTGGCCCTTAGTGCATGGGCAAAACGAGGGGCCTCCTTAGTGTGCGGGCTGGTGCGGCTCTGTGCAGCTGCACCCTGGTCCATGGGTGCTGCGCAAATCGAAGGGCCCACGGGACAGCTGGGCCTGGGGTAGCTGCCCAGTTTGCCACGCGTTACAGATGGCCCTGTATGTCCGTACAACCATAATCCACCTTTTTCATATTAAGTGCACCCACACATATTATATATCATTTTGTTCAGGAGACACATGGCTTTCATTTTTTATCAAATATTTATATGAAACATAAGTTAAAGGACTACTATAGTGCCAGGAAAACATACTCGTTTTCCTGGCACTATAGTGCCCTGAGGGTGCCCCCACCCTCAGGGTCCGCCTCCCGCGGGGCTCTAGGGGGTGGAAGGGGTTAAACTTACCTCTTTCTCCAGCACGGGTCTCGCTCTGCTTACACGCACTGTAAGCAGAACGGAGCTGACAGAGGAGCTGCACGGAGGAGAAGGGAGCTGACAGGAGCTGCAGGAAGGTAAGTAACACCTCGCTGTCAGCCCCCCCACTGAACAACCAATGCCACTGGACCACAAGGGATTTAATATTATTAAAATAATATAATACTAAAATAATATTATTTTAGTATTATATTATTATTTTAATATTTGCATTATTTATTTATTTTATTTTTTTGTCCCCCCTCCCTGACTAGGCAACAAGCAGGGAGGGGGGACAAAAACATTTAAAAAAAAATAATGCAAATATTAAAATAATAATAAAATAATATTATTAAAATAAGATATTAAAATAATAATAATGTAATAATAAAATAATATTATCATAATATTGTTTTATTATATTATTATTATTTTAATATTATTTTAATAATATTATTTTATTATTATAGTATTATTATTTAAATATTTGCATTATTTAAAAAAAAAATTTTTTTGTCCCCCCTCCCTGACCAGGCAAGAAGCAGGGAGGGGGGACAAAAAAACATTAAAAAAAAAATAATGCAAATATTAAAATAATAATAATATTATTAAAATAATATAATATTAAAATAATAATAATATAATAATAAAATAATATTATTAAAATAATATAATATTAAAATAAAAAATTAAAATAAAAATGCCCTCCCCTCACCCAGTTTACACACACTGCACAGAAACAGACACTGCATTATATACACACACTGCATTCATTATGTACACACACACACACACACCACACAAACACAAACACTGCATTCATTATATATAAACACACAAACACACTCTGCATTCATTCTATACACACACAACCACATACTGCATTCATTATATACACACACAAACACACACTCTGCATTCATTCTATACACACACTGTAAATAAATATTCAATTAATGTAATTTTATTGGGATCTAATTTAATTTAGAAATTTACCAGTAACTGCTGCATTTCCCACCCTAGGCTTATACTCGAGTCAATAAGTTTTCCCAGTTTTTTGTGGTAAAATTAGGGGCCTCGGCTTATATTCGGGTCGGCTTATACTCGAGTATATACGGTATTTGTATTCAGAAATGTCTCACGAGTCCAACAGTACCCCCAATGTACAAATGTACAGGTTTTAAGAGTTTTTGGAAATTTACAGGGGTCAAATGTGGGGCTTTTCCCTTTTCCATGTTTGCACATTGAAATTTGCCAGATTGGTTTGCTGGGCCTATGTTGCCTTTGAGACCGTATGGTAGCCCAGGAATGAAAATTAACCCCATCATGGCATACCATTTGTAAAAGTAGACAAGCCACGATATTCAAAATGGGGTATGTCCAGTCTTTTTTTAGTAGCCAGTTAGTCACAAACCCTGAACAAAATTAGCATTTATATATATGTTTTTGCATTTTATCACAAATAAACTGCCATTTTACAGATGATATCAGTATAATACATTTTACTGCTATAAAACACTCATATTTATGTAGAGTAATGTCTCACGAGTACAACAGTATCCCTCAAGTACAGGTTTTATGGTGATTTGGAAAGTTACAGGGTAAAAACATAAGATTTGGCAATTTCTGTTTTTGTAAATTGCTATTTGCCAGATTGGCTATGTTTCCTTTGAGACAGTATGGCAGTTCAGAAATGAAAATTAACCCTACCACGATATACCATTTGAAAAAGTAGACAACCCAGGGTATTCAAAATGGGGTATGTTCAGTCTTTTGTTGTAGCCACTTAGCCTCAAACGCTTGCCAAATTAGCATTCATATTTGTTTTTTTAATTTATTTACACATAAATTGCACTTTTACTGGCAATATCATAGTCGTGATAAGTTTTACTGTTTTGAAAAACTCATATTTGTGTTCAGCAAAGTCTCTGGAGTATAACAATATACTCCATGTACAGGTTTTATGGTGTTTTGGAAAGTTACAGGGTCAATATAGGGCCTGCCCATTTCAGTTTGCCGAATGGTTTGCTGGATCTATGTTGCATTTTGAGACCATATGGTAGCCCAGGAATGTGAATTAACCCCATCATGGCACACCATTTGCAAATATAGAAAACCCAGGGTATTCAAAATGGGGTATGTTCAGTTATAAATAAATAAATAAATAAATAACACCTAAAATCAATAACCATAGTGGTAACAAAAATAAAAAAGTGCTACCAAGTGCACAGATTAAAGAAAAAGAAAACGCTTGACACGCATTTCAGCGTGTTCAAAACGCCGTCAACAGGAGCCTTTTCTTTTTCTTTAATCTCTGCACTTGGTAGCACTTTTTTATTTTTCTAGTTGGAGTGCAGGGGTATTTTGTATATATATATATATATATATATATATATATATATATATATATATATATACACACACACATATACACACAAAATATACAATCCAGCACACTGGCGTATTCTCTAAACAATGATTTCAAATCTTAGAGATTGAAATCATTGTTTAGTGAATAAGCGAGTGCGCTGGATTGTGTATTTTGTATAATTTGGCCCCAGCACCACCCTATAATGTATGCATGTTCAGGTGAGTGCAGCCCTCTTGATTTCATTTATATATTTGGGAGTCCAGGCCAACTCCTTTGTTTTGCATCCTTCCCTGTCAAAGGTTCCTCATTCCAGGACCCTATTTCGCCTTCACTTGCAGAGAGTCCCAGTAAGGAAGTATTTCCCAAGTAAGTGGATTAATCTCATAAGGGCAAGCCTTCGGCTGCTAGAGTAGGACGTGCCAAGAATGGGGTACATTCACATTGAGGCAGGCTTATGCAATATACGATCATATAATGTAATTAAACCCCCATAATTCTTTGCCTATATATTTATTGGATATATCTCAAAGTACACTTATAATGAAATCATATATATATATGCATTATATATGTATAATATATTATAAAATGCTTTAATTGTTTTTTAATATATTATACATATATAATATATGTATAATATATTTGATTATTTTATTAAAACAAATTATTTTAGAAGACTGGGGGACTGCCTGACAGCTCAGACAGTCCCCCTGCAGTCAGCTCCATAGACTCCTATTGCGGCCATGTGATTATGTGATCACATGGCCTTGGAGGGCCAGAGCTGCTGCAGGGCGACGTCTGGGCTCTTGGGCGGTCCTCCCCCCCGATCTGACTGCAGAACGGTGGGAGGATTGCTGGGCGTACTATGCCTCCCTCTGGCTTTTAGAGCCACCCTTTTAAGGATGGCATAGTACGCCCGCCGTCCTTAAGGGGTTAAAGTGACACTATATACATCAAAACAACTTTAGCTTAATGAAGCAGTTTTGGTAATTCCGCTGCAATCTCACTGCTTAATTCTCTGCCATTTTGCAGTTAAATCGTTTTTGTTTCTGTACATGCAGTCCTAGCAAAAGCTTGCCTGACTATGATTCACACTGCATGTATAAAACAAATGGTTTCCTTGTCAATCAGATGCTAACTTGCTTTACAAGGTTTTATCTCCTGCTCTGTAAATTGAACTTTAGTCACATACACAGACCATGCATGGTCTAGAAGGCAATTAACAGAACAGGAGGTAAGAAATGTTATATTAACCAGAATGTGTAACAAAGGAAGTCTAAAAATCAGATCTCTATTTACAGGAAGTGTTTAGGGAGCCTGTGCAATCAACATGCAGGGAGGTGACTCTAGGAGAGCATAAACAAAGTGATTTAGCTCCAAAATGGCAGAGAATAGAGCAGTGAGACTGACGGGGCATGATCTATACACAAAACTGCTTCATTAAGCTAAAGTTTTTGGTGCCTATACTGTCCCTTTAGCTTTTGTCTTAATAATATAAAAGAAAGTAAGCTCATTTGAGCAGGGCCCTTAACACCATCTGTTACTGTAAACCCTTGTTCTGTTACAAATACTGTCTGTTAGTCCTCCTATTGTACAATGTTGCAGACTTTGTTGGCACTTTATAAATAATAATAATAATTTTAAAAAAGCAAACAGCCAGTATAACAGAAATTGAGGAGATTAAACAACTAGAAGATGGAATGAGTGAATGTGGATGAATAGACCTATTTTAAAAATTAAATTGCAATTCACATCAGAAATGCAGGTGGACAAATTTTGGTGTTAATTCACAATTTAACAATCCAATCTTTGTTAGTATTGTCAATGCACAAAAACAATAATAAAAAAAAATGCTAATTCAAATCTAACTCCACTACATAATAGTTAAAAATAGATACCAAACTAAAAACGTAAAATAAACTGATGAGCAATTATCCAAACCAGGATATAACCGCATATAACCAGAAAGCTATCCTAAAAACTACTCCTGACTTGCAAATTGCCAATATGATTAGTTTTTTGTAATAAAAGATGTACATCGCTTCATTTCAAGAGACTCCACATGGATATTTACAGGCTGTATGTAGCATAATATATACACAACAATCTAATTCTAACTAATTCTAACAACAAACTATTCCTAAATAGTTTGAGACTCTTAGCAACATAACCTGCCAAAGATGGGGTACATTGGCGTTGTGACAGGCTTATGCAGTGTATGATCATATACTGTAACTAAACCCCCATTATTATTTTTTGCCTAGATTAGGTGTTTTTAATAAAACTGAAAATTGTTCAGCATTAAAATGACTGTTTAGTAGATAAGCGAGTGCGCTGGATTTTCATTTTTACTGTACTTATTGGCCGCCAGCAGCACCCTAATTTAGCATGTGTAGGCGAATGCAGCCAAACCCTTATTTTCTCATATGTGTATATATTTAGGAGTCTAGCCAGCTCCATGGGTTTTGCACCCCTCCCTGTTACAGGTGCCTCATCTCAGGATCCTATTTAAGCATTGTACTGCAGAGACCTCGAGATGGAAGGATTTCCCCAAGTGAGAAGGTCATTTAGCAGACAGAGTAGGACCTGCCAAAGATGGGGTACATTGGCGTTGTGGCAGGCTTATGCAATGTATAATCATATACTGTAACTAAACCCTCATTATTTTTTGCCTAGATTAGGTGTTTTTAATAAAACTGAAAATTGTTCAGCATTAAATGACTGTTTAGTAGATAAGCGAGTGCGCTGGATTTTCATTTCTTAGCAACAGTATCACCACACTGAGTTTTAGTGAATAGGTTGCTTACAGTGTGCCCTTATGAGGTTATATGTAACCGTTCAGTTAACAACAGTTAACAATTGTTATCTAGTCAACAGAATACATGGTAATAAATAATATTCTCTCCCCTGTCAATTTATTTATTTTTAATTATTACAATTTATAATCACTAAACATATTTCATGGATGGAAAAGTTAGTAAATGGAATTGCAACAAAGCAAGTTTTACATGCAGGAAGGATTTTTTTTTGTTTTTTTCTGAAGCCCTCTTACATAAAGGTAGTAGGGTGTAATTACAAAAACAGAAAAAGTGCACTGTATCCTGCAGAAAAGTTCCCTTAGAATCAATTTAATGCTGTTGTCTTTTGCCCATATGACAAAGGCAAGATTTAATGGGAGGGCCTAGGGAGACTCGTTTAATTTTTTTTATGTTTTTGATGTTGAGTATGTCTTTTTTTGTAACTCTGTAAATCTAATAAAAAGATGTAAACAAAAAATCTGCAGGAATGTTGATTGCTATAGCTATATCATGTTAATAAATATCATTAAGTGAGAATGGGGGAGATCATGAGCTGTGGTTTCAGCCCAATTCTCTGTTCACACCAATAGTCCAGAATATGTGCATTTGGAAACAGTTCGATAAAGGTTATTAAATTAATACTAACATTTTCAGTGAAATGTCAAGGAATATAGTAAGTCTTTAAAGTGGTTGGGTCATATATAGGTTCTTTGCATTTTTTTTCAAAGTGTGTGGATGGTAAAATCATGAAGAACGGTAATTTCTCTGTACACCATTGAATAAAACATAAAAAAATCACCTATAACTTGTGTTAACATTTTTTCTATGGGGTACTCTGTTGTATGAATTTATATTAAATATTTTTGCAAAATACATCATAAACCAGTTCAGAAAAGGCAACGCTAGAGCAAACATTGCAGATGACGAGGGGATGTGGAATCATTGTTCAACTCTGCATATAGCTAGCTATATTCTTCCATTTATTTTTTTCTACCTTTTTTGCAGTTCCAGGTGTCAACTCTAGAACTTGTTGCTTAGAAAATTAATAAACCTTTCAGAATTAAAAAAAAAAGTGGAAAGTGTCTAAAGAGGACCAAACCTTCAATTATTTGAAACATAGCTAGTCATAAAAAAAACGATAAGTTGTTCAGGGTTTCTGCATCATAAGATATTAACTGTTTATGGAAAGAATATTAATTTAATTAGCATTTTGTAGTATAGGTAAATACTAAAAATTATTCTGCCAGGCTTTCCGGTCTCTTGAATATCCATGTTGAAAAAGATGCGTAAAGATTTAGATGTTTACATAGTGTAAACAGTCACGATCAAACATTACCAATGTTTGTTAGAGCATTAAAATGGATAACACAGCACATATGAAAACAGCCTTCAAATTAAAGTAAAAAAAAGTAAAAGGATGTACAGGGGGATAAGGCTTATTATTTAGACTAATTACTTTATCAATTTTATTATGATAGTGACTTATTATTGATATGCTCCCTGCCTTTCGTATAATAATACTAACATTTTTAAAGGTAGCATTATACAAAATTATATATTATGGTTAGTATATTAAAAAGACAAACACAAAAATGGTTTGCGTTTTCAAGCTTACTGAGATTTTTTTTTTTTCCAATAAACAGATGGAATAAGGACATTAATCTTTAATCAAAGCAGTAATATCTGTCATAAGCATAAAATATGCATGCAACTATGAATTAAAAAAAATATATACATAACAAGATGGGATCAAAGCATAATATTAAAAGAAAATCATATTATGAAGATATCAATGGCGACATACAGGCAAGGTGATTGAGAAAGGTATAAATGAGTAGTTCTAAACAATCCTTCATAGAGTAGGAAGAGAGGACTAAATGAATTGGTAGTAACAATAACTGACTGTGTCCCTTTTCTTATTCTTTAAAGAGACATTATAGTCACTAGAACCCCTACAGCTGTAAACACTGCATTTTCCTAGTCCGGTGAGTGTGCAGCAGTGGCATTCAGCATCTCCACTCCCTGGCGTGATGCTGAAAATTCCCCTTAGGCATGCATTGATTGAATGCATCTCAATGAGGAGATGCTTTAAGGAGAATCCAGACACTAAAACAACTTCAATTAGATGACACAGTTAAAGTGCCTACAGTGTCCCTTTTACCATAGCCCTAAAATTACTGTGATTGATATATATATATACCGTATATACTCGAGTATAAGACGAGTTTTTCAGCAAATTTTTTGTGCTGAAAACCCCCCACTCGTCTTATACTCGAGTCAATGTCTGTATTATGGCAACTTACATTGCTATAATACAGACAAGGACCACCGGGCTCAATACAAGCCCGGTGGTCCTGTTGGGGGC